TATTATTTTCCACTACACATTTTCTAGCTATGTACAATCACATGATGAAAAAAAATTAAATGGTTGGATAAAGGATCTGATCAAACTGACATTAATAAGGGAATACATACATTGTAGAATAAAATAAAAACATGTTTTCTTTTGGGGGGAGTAGTCAGCAACAGCATAATCTCTAAGGTGTCTCGAACTGTTAGTTGTATTGGCCTAAATTTCAGTTAGCTGTGCACCTTTCGTTTTCTCTGGGTGAAGATGTTAGACTCAGTTTCACTCTAAGAATCTTGGCTGGCTCTAGTGTGTCAGTTGGAAGTTGTTTTAAAAGGACAGGAGGTACTGTGGCAGCCGACCAGATACAGCAGTAATGCTGAATTTACACCCACCACGATCCCTGTGCACATGTACCTTCAATTCTGACTGGATACAACCACTGTCTACATCCATGGTCCTGGGTCAGGCAGATTCGTCTTTGCTCTGTCGGACGTCAGCTACGCTGTCTGGAACCCTGACCTCCATGCCATCCAGAGACTGCGTCAGACAGATCTGACAGCCCAGGCGAGATCTGTGGGTGGGGTGGGGGGGAACAAGGAGCATACATTGCCTCAGAGCCTTTACAGTGGTTGCTAAATGATTTCATGAGAGTACATCTTTACAAGTCTTGATCATACGTGTGAATAAGCCTCACCTCCAGAGTAATATTAGGCCAAGAAGCAAAAACTTAAAAAGGACTAAATAAATCAACAATTAAACCAGGTTTACTCTCTGTATAAAGGGTGACATACCTGTGACCCTGAACTGTGAGTTGACTAAGCCTGAGATGGGAAACTCTGATCCGAGTTGGCTTAATTAACTTGTTTAATTATCAATTATTTATCAAGACCTAGCTATCTTTACTAATGTCACAGATTCAATAATTAGTCTATCATCAGAGTGAGGACAAAGCGATGGTTGATTCATTCAGAATAAAATCTGTGCATGCCACTAATCCATCTTTATCTGTGACTCTGTGGACATGAAGACGCCTGCAATGACACGTCTACTGTACATTACTGGAATCAATGATGGCCTAAATAAAAGGTGTGTGTGAAGCTTTACACACTTAAGACACTGATCTATAGCCTAAATCATCATTGCTTGTGGTGTTAATGGTCACACCTGGATGATTTATTGATCATTTTGGAGATTATGTGAATATTTCAGAGTGAGAGTGATTAGAGTGCATCTTAACTAGTTTAAAAGTCAGTTTTCACACAATGACCATAGAAAACATTTGACTAACATGCTGCCACTGAGAAGTTCTGTCAATATAACCACTCGATGGAAAAGGGACAGCAGTGTGTGTGTGTGTGTGTGTGTGTGTGTGTGTGTGTGTGTCTTACGTGTCAGTCAAGCCGTAAGCCAAGTCTAGCATGTCCATCTCCTCGTCTGATATTCGCCCCAGCTTCTTGTAGACTTCCTCATCAAAGATCAGGTGGCACGTTGAGCACGCCAGCGTGCCCTCACATGCCCCTGGGAAAAGGACAAAGACGACATTTATTTACAAAATGTTCTAAAGTTTGACTTTTTGCTGTTTCTACTATAACATTGTAAAATTAATGAGGGTAAAATTATTTTTTCTTTTTTTACAATTAGCCCAATATTTAAAGCACTAAAGAAATTCACATATGTCAAGGGTTCTCAGCCAGTGGTGGGCCACTGCAGGGGGTCCCTTAATGTACTCAATAATGCAGTTTCAGTTTGGGAATCATACTTATTTATTAAAAACATGTTTCCATGTATTAATCATAAATAATCATATTCATGCAAATTTATACATTTTGAAAAGCCAAGGTGCCTTTCAAGATTAAAATAGTGGCCATCTGGTCAGTGGTCCTAGGGGCTGCCTCTTAGTCACAGTGGTGGTCCCTGAGTCACAATCAGCTGAAAACTCCTGACATATATCAACATATCAGTACCATAGTTTCTAAAGTCATCCATAACAGTATTGTTTTCACAACCTAAATGGTTCAATAAAATCACCAAATAACAAGCTGGGTTAAAGTGATTTTATGCAGGCTTTGGCCTCGACTTTTAATCATCTACTGGAGGTTTCTGTCCCCGCGTGAACTGGCATGATCCACTCCCCCACCTTGGAGGTCAGCACTGGGTCTTTGCCAGTACTTGCTCTTCCTATTTACTGGACATCTTTGCCTCATACTGACAAAAACTATAATAACACAATAACCACCTATAAACATGGTTAACTGAAATATACATGTGAAAAGGAAAATAAGTGAATGAATAACTTCATTTTCACCATTAAATTAATTCAGTATGTATGTTCTGAATATACATTTCTGTAAAATAGAGTATGTAAAATGTTTTGACTTGAAAACGTGTGTGTTTACATACCAAAGCCATCAATGTCAAGGTCTTCGTTAACAACAACATCTAGCAGCGAGTCTCCAGGCGAGCCCTTCACTGTGATCTTCTCCCCATCTCTGTTGACGAAGTGGACCGTCACCTTATCACATGACCTATGGTGCACATGCGCGCACACACACACACACACACAAAGTTAGTTATTTGCCCCACATTTTTCCTTTACATGATCTGGCAAACAAACATGCTAACAAGAATATTTTCTAATGATTATAATCACAAAACCCACATGGGATCAAAGATAAAATCTCTGCTCATTCTCTCCCTCTCTCACACAAACACACCTTCTTCTTCTACTTTCGGCTGTTCCTGTTAAGGGTCCCCACAGCGAATCATCTGTTTCCACCTAACTCTATCCTCTGCATCCTCTACTCTCCCTCCAACTAACTTCATGTCCTCTTTTAGCACATCCATATCTCTCCTCTTTGGCCTTCCTCTTGACCTCTTGCCTAGCAGCTCCATCTCCAACATCCTTCTACCAGTATAACCACTATCCCTCCTCTGCACATGTCCAAACCATCTCAATCTGG